ACTGGTAAATTTTCCACAGGAGTTTCCCTTTCTTTGTTTTTAAAACAAATTGCTGTGTAACTGAACTTAAGATTGGAACAATGTGAAACTGAGAAAAACCAGAATTAATAGATTTACCCAGCCCTATTTAGTGTAGGGGTGAAGCCTTTTAGATGTTGCTATTGTTAGATGATAGGGGATCAAGAACCATTTACAATCTGCTGCAGATCACTCAGAGATCTGCAGGTAGATCCTAATCTATCTTCTGCCTACACACGTTCTAAAGACAGCACCATTTTTTGTGGATTTTTCCAAAAAAATGCATTATAAAAATGCATGTAAATTGTATGCATTTTGTACACACACTTCCCATAAATATGTATTTCTTCAATGCATTTTGATTCTTTTCAGTGCTGCCCTTCCCCCCACCCCAATAATGTGCATTTAGTATGCATTTTGGACATAACAGGTGTATTTATGCATGCTCTTGGGGGGATTAAAACTGCAAAATAAAATCTGGGCAAGTGCCTTAGAAGTGGCCAGCTGTTGCAATCTGATCTGCAAGCAAATTTGGGGGTGTCAAATTGGGTCGGTCCACTGTCTAAATAGCAAATGATTTCCCATGTCATATCCAGAACAGTCACATGTTTATTTTACACATGGATACCAAGGCTAGGGTTAAAAATATACCATCATAAGGAGCCTTGATATTACTCCTCTAAGGAATTCATTCTAGCAATGTCAGTGAGCCTTATAATTACCATGGTTCATGATGCACATTTGGCGTTCGTTTTGTGCCCCATTATTAAATGCAAATTACTATGTTTGCATGAATTTGCATATATCTGCTTCTGCTAATCATGGCAGGGCGGAGAGGAGCAACTCTGAAAGCCTCTGAAAATGGCTGTACTAGCTGATCAGGAATAACTTTCTGACAGTAAGAGCTGTTTGACAGTGGAACTCTCCTTCACTGGAGGTTTCTAAGAAGAGGTTGGTTGGCCATATGTCATGGATGCTTTAGCTGAGATTCCTGCATTGCAGAGAGTTGGATGAGATGATCCCTTCCAACTCTATGATTCCAACTCTATGGCCTCTGGCCATAGAGGTTTTAATGAAGGGGCTAGAGCAGCCTTCACCAACCCAGAGCCCTCTAGCTGTTTGGACAGCAAAGCCCATCACAGAATTGCAGAGTTGGAAGGGACCCAAGGATCATCTATTCCAACCCCCTGAAGAAGAAGAAGAATTTATTATTTATACCCCATCCATCTGGCTGGGTTTCCCAACCCACTCTGGGCAGCTTCCAACACAATATTACAATACAATAACCTATTAAACATTAAAAGCTTCCCTAAACAAGGCTGCCTTCAGATGTCTTCTAAAAGTCTGGTAGTTGTTTTTCTCTTTGACATCTGGTGGGAGGGCGTTACACAGGGTGGGCGCCACTATCGAGAAGGCCCTCTGCCTGGTTCCCTGTAACTTGGCTTCTCGTAGCGAGGGAACCACCAAAAGGCCCTTGGCACTGGACCTCAGTGTCCGGGCAGAACGATGGGGGTGGAGATGCTCCTTCAGGTATACTGGGCCAAGGCCGTTTAGGGCTCTAAAGGTCAGCACCAACCCTTTGAATTGTGCTCGGAAATGTACTAGGAGCCAGTGTAGGTCTTTCTATATGGTCTCGGCATTCGCTCCCAGTCACCAGTCTAGCTGCCACATTCTGGATTAGTTGTAGTTTCCGGATCACCTTCAAAGGTAGCCCCACATAGAGCACATTGCAGTAGTCCAAGTGGGAGATAACTAGAGCATGGGCCACTCTGGTGAGACAGTCTGTGGGCAGGTAGGGACTCAGCCTGTGTACCAGATGGAGCTGAAAAACAGCTGCCCTGGACATAGAACTGACCTGAAATGCAGGAATCGCAGCTAAAGAATCCCTGACAGATGGCCACCCAACCCCTGCTTAAAAAACCCCAAGGAAGGAGCGTCCACAACCTCCCAAGGGAGTCTGTCCCACTGTCAGACAGCTCTTGCTGTCAGGCAGTTATTCCTAATGTTTAGTCGGAATCTCCTTTCTGGTAATTTGAATCCATCAGTTCAGGTCCCACCCCCTGGAACAGCAGAACGGAAGCTCACTCCTGAGTTATGTAGCTCAAAGCAGCTGGAGAAAGCCAAGTTGAAGATCGCTGGGCTAGGTATTAAGGGAGTGGGTCAAGGGATAGAAAAGAAAAGAGAATGAGGAGTAACTGTAGACATTTTTCTGGTGTTGGGCTTAAGAATAGGTTGAGATGGAGGGAGACCACCTGGAACAGAGGCCTGAAGTGCAGTTTTTGTGCTCTTCCATATCCCTCACCCAAATCTACCCTGGATGTCCAGCTGGCATCTTCTAGCTCCTCACAGAGCTCCTGTCCTACCCGAAATCTGCTGTGCTTTGCTCTCACAGACACTGTCCTCCTCCTTCATCTCAAAGACAAACAGCATTTTGGGGAAAGGGTGGTGGGAAGTCATCTGTGAGCCCTCCTCTCTGTAAAAGAAAAGCAAACCTCCAGCTGTGGTTGGGGTAAAGGTTTGTTCAAGACGCTGTTGATTAAAGCAAGGCGATTGTGATTAAGATAAGACCTCCACCAGCCAGGCTTTCTTCCCAGCTGATCAATACGGTGTTCTACCTATATGCTATTATAGGAATGACAAGGTTTTTGCAACATGGTTGAAATATACTCAGAGTCGAGGGTGGATTTCACGCTCTTTATTCAGCTCATAGTAGTGAGAAATGGAAGTTCCCCCAAAATGTCTGCCTTATATACATTATTTACACAATGGGCCCCATGTGATTGGGCTATTTCTGGGATTCTCCTGTAGGCCAATCAGGTTGCGGATTCACTTCCACGTGGAGTTGGATTGGGTGGCTCCTGCGAACCAATCAGACTGCTGCATTCTGGATCCTATTGTTCTAGGACCAGTCAGACTGCTGCATTCTGAATCCTATTGTGGTTAATAAGAAACCACAAGAAACTAGCTTTGCAGGGAAAACCCCCCAGAAAAACAGCCTTGCTGTTCAAAAACCTGAAACATTCCACACTTCCTACACCCTTTCGCCTCTTCTCCTGCCTTCACGCTGACTTCCTTTTTTTGTGCTCTAAGGGAGCCGTGGCCTAAAGATATAAACAGATAGTCCTATTACAGTCCAAGACCCTTGAAGACCCCAGAGCCATACATTCTGCTTCTACCTTGCCTTGTCTTCTCACATCTCTTTCTCCAATCCTGCTGCTGGTTCCTGTTTGGCGCACGAAACACTTGCCTTTCTTCTTCTCACTGCTTCCTGTGACTCTTTCATAGAGCATCCTAAGCTTCTCCTTGCTGGACCTTCCTCCCTGCCTTATCCTTGCCCTACCTCCAGGAGACCTCTTCTTCATGCACCCATCTTTCTCCATACTGCTCAACTCACCTTTCTCCTTCAAACCTGCTCCCTGCAGCTCCTGGCTTCAGCATCCCCTAAAATCTCCTCACATCTCTCTCCTGGCAATCTCTCTTCAACCAGGTTCTCCTTCCTTCCTTCCTTTTTGTCCCGCGTAAGCTCATTGCCTACCTGTCCCTTCGGAATCTCCCATTTCCATGCCACCTTCAGCTCTTGCATGTATACCCCTGATATCTGAGAATTAACAACCCCCCAAAATTGGGGAGATGCCTCCTGATCCCCTTCCTGGCTTCCTATTATGAAGCTGTTTGGGGAAAAACCTGTTGCTTTAATTCTGGAAGGGCACCTTTGACTATCCGTTTGCACACAATCTGAGCATGTGAATTTGTAGCAGACAGACTCATAGGAACACCGAAACATAGAAATCTGCCCTGTACAGAATCGGACCTTTGGTCCATCTAGTTCACACAGTCTACACTGACTGGGTTTCAGACTGGGAACTCTCCCAGTCCTACCCAGAAACACTGGGGGTTGAACCACCTCTGAGCTACAGCCCTCCCCCATGTTAGGGTCCTCAATGTTACCCATTGCTAGAACTAGCAGAAACTGCAAGTGCTTCAAGGAAGTGAGGAAGAGGACCTAAGGCTGGGTTTGGTACGTCGCCTAGTGGAAAAGTCTCATCAAGACTCAAGATTCCCTTTTGCAATGGATGGCTCAGGGATAAGCAAATCGGAACGGCGCCTAATTACTGCAAATGCAGAATCCCAACAACTGATCTCTTAGAGAAACGATGGACAAACTGACTCTCTTCTTCCTTGCATGGAATATTACCTGCGCTACTGTCTCATTGATCTCTCTCCGTCTCCCCGTCCCCCGTTCCATGTGTTGTTTCTGTTCACTTTTTGGGATTGGGCTGGGTTCTGTTCTTCCCACCCTGTGCATGTCCCTAAGTCCATTTTATTAACTTCCAAGTTGCAAAAAGGTGCCTTTGTTGGGATGTCCTGCTAGCCAATGTCATATGTTTGAGAAAGAGGTGGGGAGCACACCTGAAAAGAGGAGGTGGATGGTGGAGTTTTGGGGTGCAGGTTATGGTTTTGTGTTGTTGTTTTTTACCAGATTTATGGCTCAGTTTGAAAACTATACCATTTTTAATCAAATCCCACTCTGCCAGTCCAAAGAGAATCCCACGCCCCCTTTTGAACTCTTTGCTCATGTGAGTATTATTAAAGTAAGACTTTCCCCAAGGCTAAATATCCAAGTTGCCTCTGGTTACCATTGAGGGGGGAAAAATACTCAGTGAGCATCTTCTTCTCACCATTTGCTATAGAAATAGGCTGTTTAATTCGTTCATGCAAATTTAGACAAGATTATGAGTTGATACCAGGTAAGGGGGAAATATGTTTCTAGAAGAATGAGCTAAGAGCCAGTTATGAACTGGCCTTGATTCCATCAAAGTGCCTATTATATAGCATGAAATGAAATAGATGAATACTCACAGAAGACCCAGCTGCAACAGGAACACACAAAGCTGCTTTTGGTCCATCTAACCCAGCATTGCCTACACTGACTGGCAGAAGCTCTCCAGGATTTCAGATAGGGAGTCTTTCCAAACCCTACCTGGAGATGGCGGGGATTGAACCTGGAACCTTTTGCTTGCAAGGCCGATACTCTACCACTGAGCTACGACCCTCCCCAGCTGATGTTGCCTTATTCCAAATGCACCCGGCTTGAAATTTTTGCTCCCGCATCTTCTGCAAACAGGCTTATGTTGCACTGTCACATAAGTAGACCTCTCTCTCTCTCTCTCTCATGTAGTTGTTTTTGCAAATTGGGGCTGGTTCAAAAAGGAGGAATCGCCTCCAAAAATATCACAAGAATTTTTGGGCTTCTTGTGAATAAAGAAGTCTCCTTCTTTGGAGGTCTTTAAGCAGAGGCTTGACAACCATATGTCAGGAGTGCTCTGATGGTGTTTCCTGCTTGGCAGGGGGTTGGACTCGATGGCCCTTGTGGTCTCTTCCAACTCTATGATTCTATGATTCTAAGATCTGTTCCGTGGAAAGATCTAAAAATAATGGATTGCATGGAAGATATAGCACATCTTAAAAACCTAGTACACATGAGGCAAGCCTGGATTCATCATTGCATTTTTTTTTACCCCCAACTTCTTCTACAAGCAGCTCAAGGTGGTGGAGATGGTTCCTCACCTCTTCAGTTAAGCCCCTGTGTGGTAGATTAGGCTGAGAGGCAGTGACTGGCCCAAGGTCACCCAGCGAGCTTCATGGCCAAGTGGAGATTTGAATTCCGGACTCCCTGGCCCTAGTCCGACACTCTAACCACTACGTCACGCTGCCTTTCTTGGGCTTGGACACAGAGTACTCATTTAGCAATTCACGCAACCTCTCCCAAATGAATTGCTGGGACCAAAACGCTTTGTATTGGACTGTCTTCTTGTCCGTTTGAAATCTGAAGCTCAAGACTGGTCCACTTTGGAAGTCTTGCATTGCATTACTGTGTTTGAATGCCCCTTGGGCAACAGAGAGATGCTTTATGCGTCATTGAAAAAAAACTAGCAGTCATCGAATCTCGCTCTTGGTTAAACAGCTCATTAAGGTGCTCTCGATTCAGAATTTAACTAATCTAAGGCAAATCAGGTATAATTAAAGCAGATTTTCTACTCTAAAGGTGTCTCCTCAGGATTCAGAAAGTGATTGCAAGAGCAAACAGGTAGTTTTCCTGGAAGCTCCGAGAGAGATCCAAAATCAACAGCTGGGTAATACTTTTACTGGGACCAACCAAGATATCAGAAAAGTGTGGAGAGCTTTTTTGTTCTCCATCAGGCAAGATGGAACGCAAAGCAGAGGATGAGGGGGTCAAGGTGTGTCAAGCTACACTTCTAGGATGAAGACACAACCACTTGTCATCCTCAAACCCTAGCCCATAGACTATACCTTAGGTGTGGAGTGTGTAGGTTACGTTAGGGTAAGCATTAATATCATTATTATTACTATTATTATTATTAAATTTTCTATCCCACCTTTCCCTCCAAGGAGCTCAAGGTGGTATACATGGTTCTCCCACTCCTTATTTAACAACCCAGCTCAAGGTGGTGGATATTGTTCTCCACCTCTTCAGTTAAGCCCCACGACACCCCTGTGAGGTAGGTTGGACTGAGAGAGGCAGTGCCTGGCCCAAGATCACCCAGTGAGTTTCATGACCAAGTAAGAGGATACACACCCTGATTTCACAGGTCCTAATCTGACACTCTAACCACTACACCATGGTCCCACCTGTTTTCTCAGTGTGCATCATTATTTTATGTTTACATATGGCTCCTTCCTTGGTCAGAAACCCTGTCAGCCCCTTTCCTCGGTTGACCAGAATGTCCCGTTGATAGCTCGGAAACCGTTTGGGACAATCCTACCTCTACCAGAAATTATTCCTCTGTCACCCTTTGGGAAGCAGAGGTTTGCAGAATCCGCTCGCTTGAGCAGCTGCTGCGTCGCAACTGGAATGGCAAGGAAAGCTCAATGATGATCTCTTCTCTTCCCTCTCGCAGGGCATCGCTGTGGAGCTCCTGTGTGGTCCTACCTCTCCTCGCCCTCACCTGGATGTCAGCAGTGCTGGCCATCACAGACCGCCGGTCAGCCCTCTTCCAAATTCTTTTCGCAGTCTTCGACTCCTTGGAAGGCTTTGTCATTGTGATGGTCCACTGCATCCTGAGAAGAGAGGTGAGCATCTGAGCAGGCATAATAATCCTTCCGCAGGGCCTGTAAGACAGAGCTATTCCACCTGGCTTTCAACTTGAGCGTAGCCTGATCTTTTATTCCCCTTCCTTCCCTCCCTCTCCCCTTTTTATGAAGATTACTCGCTCTGGGATCCCACAGCTAATTCTCCCCTGGTCTCCCCGCTGGCTCAAATAGGACTAATTTAGCCAGCTAGCCCTGGTAATCATCTAATGTTTATTGGATGGATTTTCCCCCAAACTGATTTTTGAATTCTGAATTTATTGTTATTCACATTTTATACTGTATTTTATGCTGTTTTTTGTTGCATTAATTAAGTGTTTTAAATTTGTTGTTAGCCGCCCTGAGCCCAGTTTTCTGAACCGGGAAGGGCAGGGTATAAATAAATAAAAATTAATCATAATAATAATAATTATAATTTATACCCTGCCCATCTGGTTGGGTTTTCCCAGCCAACAGAAGAAGAAGAAGAAGAATAATAATAATAATAATAATAATAATAATAAAGCCATAAAACATCAAACATTAAAAACTTCCCTAAACAGGGCTGCCTTCAGGTGTCTTCTAAAAGTCAGATAGTTGTTTATCTCCTTGACATCTGATGGGAGGGCATTCCACAGGGCGGGTGCCACCACCGAGAAAGCCCTCTGCCCGGTTCCCTGTAACCTACCTTCTCGCAGGCCCTTGGAGGTGGACCTCAGTGATGGGCAGGGTGAATGATGGGCAGGGTGACGCTCCTTCAGGTATACTGATTCGGCTCAGCCCAAACTCAAATCTTGCCTTGCTTGAGAAAAGACCATATATTGCTTTGCATAATTACTGGATCAGAAGGCATTGTCCCAGTCTCCTTTGATCTGTCAACTGCTAGGTTGGCAGGAGCAGGGACCGAGCAACGGGAGCTCACTCCATCATGGGGATTCGAACCGCCAACCTTCTGATCGGCAAGCCCTAGGCTCTGTGGTTTAACCCACAGCGCCACCCGCATCCCTTGGGAGGTGGGGTATAGGGGGCCTTAATAAAATCTACAAGCCACTCTGATTCCCATCCCATAATCTTTAGCTAAACAGTAGTGAAGAAAGTTCTTCTTCACACAGTGCATGGTTAAACTATGGAGGCAGTGATGGCCACCAACCTAGATAGGCTTTAAAAGAGGATTGTACAAATTTGTGGAGGAGAAGGCTGTCTGTGGCTGTTAGCCATGATGGCGATGTTCTGCCTCCACAGTCAGAGGGGATATTGCTTAATAAAGATGGATGAATTGATAAATTCTAGTACCATTCCTTAAAAAAAATTGAGGGCCCATTCTCTTTCCGCCCTCATCCCCAGGTTGTTGTAAGGACTCATTCTATAAATTTTATTTATTTATTTCACAACGTGCTTATACTGCCTAATTGCAATGAAACCTCTAAGCCAGGGTTCGGCAAAGTTTTTGTGGTTTGGGCCGGTTCACAGTCCCGCAGACGCCGCGGTGGGCCGGAGTGTGTGTGAGCGCGCACGCATGCGCAAATGCTATTTCCGGTGCTCCTTCCGGCACAGAGGAGTTGTGCGCAGCTTCCCATTGGCTGCAGGAGCTTCCTGCAGCCAATGGGAAGCCAACTGGCATCGTGGAAGGCAGTCCCCACTCTGCTCCGCCCTGGTTTAGCACGGCGCATGTGAGTGTTAGGATTTTTATCTCACCAGCTGCGCAGAGAGCAGCACAATGGTTGTTTACATCATGTGAGTGTCTGAGAGCGTGAGACAGGAAGTCTCTGCTCAGTCTCAGTACTGTAGAAGTTACTTTCACTTCTGAGTGAAGTGTGCTGTTCTGTACTGCTGCTCAGAGAGAGCAGACACGCTGATGGAAACTCTATGTACAGACAATGTAAATAAAGTAGTTTAGAGCTACTGATTGTCTCTTTCTTCTGCAATGGGATGCCAGAAGACGAGTGTGCTCCTCTCAGGAGGGAGGGGTCGCTTATTACTGGTCTCTCTGCGCTGAGGAAGATTTACAGCCAGAGGGTGACCACCGGAGAGACGCCTCGGTGTCTTGGGAAGGTGGTGGCCTTCCCGGGCATTTTTCCAACAGTGAGCTGACCGAGGGGGTGGCTGGGGTCCTTGAGCAGGCGGCAGGGGTCCATGGGCCGGTCAAACGGGCCGCTCTAAGCAGATTCTGCTGGGTGTGCCTCTGTCCTGGTGCTGAAATGACTTACTGCTCCTCATTCCTTTCCTTTTGCTCCTTATGGCGCTCTGATCCAATTCTCTCTCGTGCCACACATTTTCCCAGGTGCAGGATGCTGTGAAATGCCGAGTGGTGGACCGCCAGGAAGAAGGAAATGGAGATTCTGGGGGGTCGTTTCAGAACGGACATGCTCAGCTCATGGTAGGATAAAGTGCCTCTTGTTCCTCCGTAAAGAAATGAGGAAAATGCAGCTTTTCTCTTTGGTAGTGATGCTACAGGGAACCAGGCAGAGGGCCTTCTTGGTAGTGGCACCCATTCTGCAGAATGCCTTCCCATCAGATGTCAGGGAGTTAAATAGCAACTTCTAGAAGACATCTGAAGGCAGCCCAGTTTGGCAAAGTTTAATAATAATAATAATAATAATAATAATAATTTATTTATACCCCACCCATCTGGCTGGGTTTCCCCAGCCACTCTGGGCAGCTTCCAACCAAATATTAAAAACAATACAGCACCAGACATTAAAAACTTCCCTAAACAGGGCTGCCTTCAGTTGTCTTTTAAAAGTAAAATAGTTGTTTATTGCCTTGACATCTGGTGGGAGGGTGTTCCACATGGCGGGTGCCACTACCGAGAAGGCCCTCTGCCTGGTTCCCTGTAACTTGGCTTCTCGCAGCGAGGGAACCGCCAGAAGGCCCTTGGTGCTGGACCTAAGTGTTCGGGCAGAACAATGGGGGTGGAGACACTCCTTCAGGTATACTGGACCGAGGCTGTTTAGGGCTTTAAAGTTTTTAATGTTTGACATTTTATTATGCTTTTATATTTGTCTAAAGCCACCCAGGGTGGCTGGGGCAACACAGTCAGGTAGGCAGAGTGCAAATAAAATTATTATTATTATTATTATTATTATTATTATTAGTGTGACAAGGGCGGTGCCACTTTCAAATTCATGGAGTCCCGCGTTGACTCCACATGTCTGTGAGGTCACCTCCAGACAGCCTGTTTATTTCCCATTCATCCTCATTCGCTTGCACCAAGTTTCCCCATAGGTTAGATGATTAAATAATGCTTTATATATTTTATTTATGGAAATGTACCAGTTGCTTTATATTTTGAAAGATTAAAATAACATCACAGCTGTGCAGAAAGCCCTGCACCGGCTGTCAGTCGAATATGAAATTCAGTTTCAGGTATTATTAGTAGTATCCAAAGTTTTAAATGGCCTAGGATGAGGTTATCCGAAGGATCACCTTGTCCCTTGTACACACAGGCCAGATCACTTGTGATCATCAGGAGGAACCCTCCTAACAGTCCCAGAGTTATCCCATATTAGTTTAATTCTCTAAACGAACCTAGGATTTTAGCGTAGTGGCAACAATAACTTGGGACACTGTTCCTATGGAAATCAGACAGGCACCTATAATCCTGATGTCATCTGCTGAAAATGTATGTATTTCAACTAAGTGTTTTTAGAGAATGAATTGGATTCTGCGTTAGTTGTTTGTTCTGTACTAGGTGACTTCAATAGTTTCATTGTACACCACCTTGATTCTTTTTTAAAAAAATAAAGGAAATTATTTAACGAAAGAGAGAAATGAAACGAGGGGAAAATCAGCTCTTCTAGTCTCATAAATTAGCAGGATGCATGCTTGGACTGGGGGGGGGGGGGATGTCTCTTGATTTCCACAGAACATTCCACTTTTCTGCCCAGTTAGCTCTTGCACAGCCACAAAAAGTTCTCTTGAGAATTCATACTTGTAAGAAGTTGTCTTGTGCTGGGTCAGACCATTGTTCCATTTTGCTCAGGCCTTTCTCCAATCACTAGCTTCAACTGAATGTGCATTGGATGTGCTTCTGGATTCAGATTCTGCTTTTCCGATCTGTTGCATTCGACGGGATGCACATCTGAATGCGTCTCTGACCCGCCAACTGACTTGCAGAAGAGTCTCAGCATGCAGTTTCCTCCTCCAGCTGATATGTGCAAGAATATGCACAAGCAGCTACCAGCTTCCTTCCCACACACATAACGATACAATAATCTTTATACGATAATCTTTATTGTCATTGTCCCAGACAGAACAACGAAATTGAAAAAAAAATCTACATCAGACATTCAAAAACCAACAAGCCTGCTATCACAGCCATCCCAGCCTGGTTAGCCCCCTAAAAACTCTGATACTCCATAATTAAATACAATATACTCCCATAGAGACTACCTTACACTGCATTTAAAACCAAAATCACATTTGGATAGAAACTGATTCTCAGGCGGCTAGTCCTGGTCTTTATAACCCTGTAGCTTCTTCCAAAAGGCAGAAGTTGAAAGAGATCATTTCCGGGGTGCGCACTGTCCTGCGCTATCTCTGCAGCTTTCTTATGGCACCTGGAAGCATAGATTTGATCCAAGGTGGGAAGAGTGCACCCAATTATTCTCTCTGCAGTCTTTACAACCCTGGAGAGCATTGTTTTTTCCCTGACCGTGCAACTCCCAAACCACACACAGAGACCATAATACGCTCTCCACAGTACAATGGTAAAATGCCATCAACAGGTCCTTTGAGAGACTGTTTTTCCGTAGGATTCTCAGATAGCAAATTAGACAGGATCAGACGTGAAGAAGGATTGGCATAATTGTCTCCATCCCTATTAATATGTTGATTCCTGTCAAAGGCAGCATTCACCCAGCCTTTCCTCATTTCCCCAACATTTCTCAAACTCTTAATTTCCATATTATATTTGAGCTTTCATGCAACATAAAAGCCGCTTTCAGAAAATTAATGGAATATAGTGCATGTTTAGTGCTAATTTCTGTGTTAGGTGATTCCAGAAATTGCAGCTCACTTAGCCCAGGAAAAATTATTATTAGTATTAACATTTATACACTACCCTTCATCCAAGGATCACAGGGAGCTTGACAATATAAAAACACAACAACACATACCATAGTAACAAACAGAAACCCGCACCATTTAAAACAGATTGTTTAATTGGCCAAAGATGTTTCACATTGCCACAAGTTGGGAGACTTGTGTGTGAGTCTGACCCTGTACAAGACACACCAAAATCTGCCTTTTGTTTGACGTTGTGTTTCAAGAACCTGAAACAAAGAGCCATTTCTGATTTAACGAAACCTTCCCCGCCTAACTCAGTTGGAAATTGTCCATTGACCAGGCTGATAACTCAGAATGGTTCCAGATACAAATCTAAATGAAAAATCCGGTTATGGTTATGCATTCAGACCATCATCTGCGCCCATCAAAGACTGGAGCGATTTGTCGGAGTGAATTGACAAAAAGCCACAGTTCCATAACGCCATAGGTGCTGCAGTGTGAAAGGAACATTAGACAACGGGGCAGAAGTGGACAATGGCAAATTATAATCAGGAAGAGAATATTGGCACCTGAACATCTTCACCTCTCAATAACCCCCCTTTTGTTCACGCCAGGGTCTCATTGTTGTGACTCTTTGCTTGCTAGTTCTGGAAATGTGCAAGAAATGCTGGATTTGAGGCCCCCCTTTCCTCTGCCACCCCACAACCTCCCCCCTACCCTCCGCCTTGTTGACCACCGCCCCCTCCTGTTTTCTCTGTCTTCCAGACTGATTTCGAGAAGGACGTGGATATGGCTTGTAGATCAGGTGAGCACATCACAGGTGAGAAATCAACAAGTGACCTGGTTTGGGGATTGAGCTTGACCTTAATTTCCATTTCTTTCTTATGATATATATCTTTGCTGTCTGTTTGTGTCAAAAGTTGTGTTGCGTCTGGTCTGTGCGTCTGAGCTGCTCCCGGCCATTCCTGCTCCTCAAGAACTCCTGCCTCCTCCCATCTCCTGTAGGCTAATTCTCCTCCGCTGCCCTCCTATATGCTTGGGGCTTGGCTGAGGTCAAGGGCAACCTCAATGGGCACAGGCTTTTGGAAGGGGTGTGGATAGAGGAAGACGAGACCTAGGCCCAAACTGGACACATTGGTGGAAGCCAGGCTGACTTAATCCCATGACTGCACCATTCGCATCTAGAGCCAGGATGGCATGGGAGGGTCTAATTCCGTGGCCAGTTCCTGCCCCTCCCCAATGAAAATAATGACACATGACACAAAAATTAAGGTTAATGGCTAAATAAGGCCACAACTTTATTGGTTACAGGTGATGAGCGGTATTGGCTTAGGCATTGGTCCTAACCACTACATCTGACTCCAGCCCATCCACTTGAAGTCCGGGAAGGGTTAACCACCAGTAGGGGGAGTCCTGCTGATGCACATCAACTAGGGACTCCCCTGGGGTCACCAATTGGGGGCGTGCCTTAGGCCCTAATCTCCCTAGGCTTTGGACGGGGCCACGCCCCCCAGAATCCTTTACCGGACTAGCCTTCAATATGCGGGGCAGGTGATGGCGCTACCTCCCCTCTTCCATCTACAGAGCAATACCAATGCCTAACCGCCAATACCCAGAAAGTTGTGACGATTTGCTACGAGGTAGGCGAAAAACCAAGTGACTGGTGCCAATTTGCCACGTGGAAAAATTCCTACCAGGCCCCTTAACGGCAACCAACCAAGGTCCATAGCAAGGTCAAGGAATGAAAACCTTATAGGGCGGGAGGGTGGGAAAAGCATTAACAGCTGGCAGGTGGCAAAGAGGGAGATCCCCGGTCGCCTCCTGGTTTAAATAAGGCAGGCCACGCACCCTAAGCCAGCTGATTGGCTGGCCAGGAGGTGACGTGGCTGGGAATACCCCCAATCGTGCGAGGGCTGGGTTCCACCCTCCGCGCACGTGGTGGTGCCGTGAAGCCCACAACCCCACCTCCTCCGAAGTGCAGAAGTGGCTTTCCTACATCGAAGGGGACTCTGGCATTGATGAGGAGCTGAGACGCCCTTCATGCCCTGTTCCTTCAAGCGCTTTCCAAGGGGGAAAGTGTTGGAGGTTAGGGGGCATGGAAGGAGGGGCAGAAGATTCGGGCGCCCTCCCCTCTGTGCCCCTTCTCGTATATAAAAAAAAAGACTCACTTTATACTTGAATGAAAATGACTGCCTTTATTTATCACAGTTAGGTCAGCCCTTGGCAGGTCTATTATGATGATGATGATGATGATGATGATGATGATGATGATGATGCAGGTCTTTATTTATTTAGTTTCTCCCTGCTGTTCAGTCTTCCCAGCTTCCCAGGGTGGCCTGGTTGTTCAAAACAAGACAGAGCCTATCCTGCAATTTTACAATCTAAAAGAATCAAAAAACCACGATCTAAGAGGGAAAAGGAACAGGGAGGGAAGAGGAAAACCAAAACTCCAGCACCAGTTTCTAAACAGTTGTTCCTATAACAACTTATTATTATTATTATTATTATTATTATTATTATTATTATTATTATTATTATTATTATTATTATTATTATCCTGTTGGAGTGACATTAAGCATTGCACTCCCAACACTGGTTCCCACAACCATTTTTGATGCATGATAACATCCAAATGAATTGGCTTTTTGTGGATTTGGCATAGTGGATTTGGGTACAGCAGTTTAATCATTGTGTGGGTACTTTTACCATCTTCCCCAACTGAGGTTCAATGGTGGAAAACATTTCAGGAAATGGGTTGAAGCAGGCAGTGACGAGTCCTGATCTGTGCTCCAATTTCTTTCTTTCTTTCTTTCTTTCTTTCTTTCTTTCTTTCTTTCTTTCTTATTTCATATTTTTTTTACACTGCTTGATTGTAAAAGGGAGGGACCCTCAACATGGTTTTTAAAAAAGATAACAATAAAATTACCAATAAGGAAAAATAACAATGATTTAAAAAGGGGGATCTGCTTATAACCCACCCAGGGGGTCTGTAGCACCATTCACATAACAAAAACCACCATGCAGATATCAAAATTTTCCAAAGTAGGGGGTTTGTGGCTTCGCTTTTGAAAACAAAATAGGGGTTCCACACTGGTCAGCAAATTGGGAACCACTGATTTAAGACGTTTGAAAAGTTAAAATAACAATAGGCTCAAAACAGGCTAAAACTCACATCAAATTTCCAAACATCTGGATAGGCTTGTGTAAATAAATATGTTTTTAGCAGGCACCAAAAAGAATACAATGAAGGCCCCTGCTTAATATCAATAGGCAGGAAGTTCCGAAGCTGCTCATGAGACCTGATCATCGTGCCAGAAAATCCACTCCTGATAACCCTAACCATATAAGAACTGGATGTTTAAATTAGGACATTTAGTGATTTTCAGCATCCTCGCATATTGCATTTCTTCCTCTAGACCTTCCCTGTTCTGGGAGAGGTGATGGGTGAGCTTATTCCTCCAGCATCCTCTGTCTCCTCCGCTTCTCCCTTGCTCTTACCCACGTCCTTTGGGAATTGATCACCCCAGTCCTGCAGGCTTGCCTGGGCCTCCAACCTCTTCCCACCTCCCACCCCTCACCCTGCTTAAATAGACCCAGCGCTGCATCCATTGCAACTGAGAACTCTCTCAAGAATGCCCTGTGCTTCCTCGACCCTCCCTTAAATGCTCTGCTCTCCTCCTGCATCCCTGAATCACCAGGGGAAGGGGTAAAATAAAACCCAAAAAACACCTTTGACATTTCTTGGGATTTCCTTAAAGATCCTGGACAACCCCAGCTGCCTTTGACCCTGCATAGAATTCCAATCTTCCAAACCAGGATCTCTTCTTAAGGCTGAGAATTAATTGCTGTCTCCACCTCTATGATCGTTTCTGTATTTTCCTTCTTGGATTTGTTTTTCCCCCTTCCTTTCCAGGCTTCTCTTTTTCTGTCTGTTTATATCATGCTCTTTCTTGTAGCCGATTCTGGTTTGCCAACAGGTGTGTTCTTACCTGATGCGGAGGAGATGGAGGCAGTCCCATCTCCCGGGTGAGAGGACACATTTGCACCTGTTTTCCAACTCCATACAGTATCAATTTATGGGCACGCACAAAACACTAGGCAATGTTAAACTGCAACATGTGGAGCTATTCCTCTCATTGTTTCATTCATCTCTGCCTTCCATTCATCCATTTCCATGCACAAACTTAATCAATCCTTCCCCATCCTGTCTATCTGCCCATCCCCTCATCTCACTTTCCCTTTCTATTTGTTGTCTGGCTTCTTATCAAGATAATAATAATAATTTATTCTTTATACCCACCCATCTGGCTGGGTTTCCCCAGCCACTCTGGGTGGCTTCCAACAAAATATTAAAATGCAATAGTCTATTAAAAATTAAAAGCTTACCTAAACACGGCTGCCTTCAGATGTCTTCTAAAAGTCTGGTAGTTGTTTTTCTCTTTGACATCTGAAGGGAGGGCATTCCACAGGGTGGGTGCCACCACCGAGAAGACCCTCTGCCTGGTTTCCTGTAACTTGGCTTCTCGCAGTGAGGGAACCACCAGAAGGCCCTCGGAGTTGGACCTCAGTGTCCGGGCAGAACAATGGGGGTGGAGACGCTCCTTCAGGTATACTGGACCGAGGCCGTTTAGGGCTTTAAAGGTCAGCACCAACACTTTGAATTGTGCTCGGAAACGTACTGGGAGCCAATGTAGGTCTTTCAAGACCGGTGTTATGTGGTCTCAGCGGCCGCGTCCAGTCACCAGTCTATCTGCCGCATTCTGGATTAGTTGTGGTTTCCGGGTCACCTTCAAAGGTAGCCCCACATAGAGCGCATTGCAGTAGTCCAAGCGGGAGAGAGGGACTCAGCCTGCGTACCAGGTGGAGCTGGTAAATAGCTGCCCAGGACACAGGATTGACCTGTGCCTCCATGGACAGCTGTGAGTCCAAAATGACTCCCAGGCTGCACACCTGGTCCTTCAGGGGCACAGTTACCCCATTCAGACCCAGGAAGGCTGCCCTTCTAGTGGAGCCCCAACACCAGATTCACTCCATGGCACATCAGACTTTTGCCATCCTCACCCTGCCAGCTTGTGTTGCAAATGAGTATCCTTGCTGGTGAGTAGAGTCCATGCCCATCGACAAGAGCCAGCTTGCTGGAGAGTGAGCTGCAGCCCATCACTCCTGTTTCAAACAGGGACTATTTATTGCCTTCTCTTTTCAGCTTCAAGGTTTCAAAAGGGAGTGTGAGCTCCCACAAATTATCCCAGTGCCAACATGCCCGTAGGCAGATTCTCATATTGCTTTTTCTTTTGGCATCTCCAAATGACGCCCTTCAATCAAACATGACGCTTCCCTCTCTGCTGACGTCTTCTCACCTCTCCCTCTTCCTGGCTTCTTTCCCCTCCCTGTTTTCATTTATTTCCTCTCTCTGTGGTGTCTCTTTTTATCCTTCTGATCTCTCTCAGCGCCGACAATCTTAACCTTAACAAAACCAAAGGCATCCAACAAACGGAAGGACGGCCCTTGCTCCATTTTACACCCCTAACTCTCCAGAGCGACTGTTCTGTAATATTTTAAACAAGCAGCGGATGTTTTCTAAGCACTGCAGAGGTATTAAAAGATCAGGCAAGCACGTCTTAGGGGCTCACAACCTAATAGACATGGCACAAAAGGAAAGGTAAACGTGGAGGGAAGAGGAAAGCAAGCACTGTGACACACACAGAAACACATATCCTGGGAAGCATCCCTTGAGTTGTCTAAATGCATGAGTGATACTTGGAAGAACAGCTAAATGCCTCCATCTTCCCTTGCAAGACGTCTACTGTTTCATAGAAAACACAGGGTCCAGAGAGTTCAGTCACCCCCTCATGATCTTCATCTAAGATCCGAAATCTGGGAAATTTATTTCCATGTCCATTAGATATCATAATTCCTCCCCCAGTTGTCACATTTGAGTACCACAGTTCTCTTACCCAATTGGGTTTCCCTCACCCCAGGATGTCCAGATGTCTTAGACCAACCAGCCTTCCCCAAGCTGGTGCCCACATTTAGGATCAGAGTTGTAGTCCATATCATCTAACGGGTGCCATGCAAGGAAGCCCGTCTCACAAAGGCTTCGGTCATTGTTTCTGCTGGCTTGCCCTTGAATTTTGCTGGCTTAGCAAGCACAAGGCACCATAGCAGGCTAATTAAATCCCAACAACCTGCTGTTGTGTTTTACAAGACAACACAACCACCCAGCAACAATGTAACGCTCCAGCCCTTAGTCGGGAATTGTTTGAATGAAGCCCCCAAGCCCATATTTGTTGGTCTTTTATTTTCCCCTGTTCTTCAGGGAGGAATAGGTAAAGCAGCTGTTCTGCTGATATGCTGGGTAAGTATTTGGTTCCATGACTCTGGGGTGTATCATAGAAGCCAACCATGAATTCTTAACCCTCTTTTCCTTTAAGCTGAGAGTTGGCTGAGCAATAGCAATGTATTGTTTATTTATATCTGTGATGCATATGTATGTTTGCATGTAATGTTCTCCATCTCCTACAGAATGTGGCTCTTTCTTTTCTTATAAGCGCTGAAGCTGCTCTTTTGGTCTGAAAGCATCTAGAGGATATTCTGCATCTAATCTCTCAAATAGGGAAGGGACAAAAATACACTTTATTATTTACTTTATATATACATTATTTGATTGTTTTTAAAAAAATCAAAGCAGTTACAATAAGAATAAAACAATAAAATTATCAGTAAAAACAGTTAATAACAACAATCTTAAGCATTCAGGAAAGAAATAAAATCGACAATAAACTCAAAGGAGTTTAAAACAGACATCAGCATTTTGGATATCTGGGTAGACATGTCTAAACAAAAATGAGTTTATCAGGCTCCAAAAAGAAATCAATAGGCAGGGAGTTCCAAAGTGTAGCTGCTGCAACACTAAAAGTTTGAGTTCTTACAAATGTGGAATGAGCTTTATTGGGCACCTGTAAGAGTGCTAGTTCTGCAGATTGAAGCCATCAATCAAGCATAATTGGGGAAAGGTGATCTCACAGGTAAACTGATCCCAAGTTGTTAAGGGCTTTATATGCTAGTAGTGACATGCTGAACTTGGCCCAGTAGCAAACTGGGAACCGGGGCCAAGGAGTCTGAGCAAAGGTGTCCTGTCTACATGGGACCAAGGTCAAGGATAAAATCAATAAAACATTTTAAACCAATATAGGTAACTAGGTTATATATCCATACAATGTTTGCATCATGAATGAAACACAGTGGATTAAACACGGGATCTCGAGAGGACATATAAATCAATTTTATTTATTTATTGACATGTATAACCCAGTCCGAGAAGCTTGTGGATTAATTTTAAACATAACCAGGCAAATTAGAAACAGGCCATTTATTTCTTCATCCATTGTCTTCACATAATGAATGAATAGTAAATAAAAAATCACTCAGTAGCTGTTGAAAGCAGAGCCACTAAGTCTAGAACAAGAATGAAACAAGAGTGAAACTCTAATTCCCCTTTAAAATGTGTTGCAGGGGGGCAGTTATTGACTTGTTTTTGTTTCTATTTTGGTTATGTATGTTGTGTTTTTATATTGAGATTTTATGTTGTAACTGCCCTGAGACCTGCGGGTATAGGACGGTATACTAATTTAATAAATAATGATGATGGTGATGATAAAATAAAAAATCCCTTTAGGAGCCTCTGTTCTGGAGATAAGTGGGGACATCCCTGGGTGGTGTGATGATGGTGAGAGTCATTTTTGTTGTGTAGCAAGACACGTCCAGTTCCATCGGTTACTGATGCTTTGTCTCTTTCCGCCGACCCATTAGTGCTAAACAAAGACATCAGCACTTGCCGCACCATGACCATCACAGGGACTCTGAAACGCCCGTCCCTGCAGGATGAGGAGAAGCTGAAGCTGAACCACCAGAAGGGATCGTCCAACTTCAACAGTCTTCCAGCCAACGTCTCCAAGATGCACCTCCAAGGCTCCCCGCACTACCTGGGCGCCATCAACCTCAACGACTTCAGCAATCACACCCTCACTCTGAAGAAGGACAAGAGCCAGCCGCCCAAGTCCATCTACATCTGCGACGGGGACATCTTCAAGAAGCTGGACTCAGAGCTCTCTCGGGCGCAGGACCAAGCCATAGACACCAGCTACGTCATCCTGCCCTCCAACACCGCCACCTTGAGGCCTAAGCCTCCACCGCCTCCGCCGCCCCCCAAAGACGATACAAAATACAGCATCAACATTGACCAGATGCCCCAGACGAGGCTCATCCACCTCAGTATGGCCACTGACCCAGGTTTCGTTGTCAAGAGCCCTCCAAGGGAGCCTGTGGTCATGGGCTGCGGGGAGGGTCAGGCTTCGCCAATGTTGCAGCAGCAGCAGCAGCAGCACCAGCTGTCGCCTCCGATGGTTAACAAGTCTGGTGACTCACAGATGCCAAACAGCTTGTGTGACACGGGCGAGTCTGGCAACTCTGGCATGGTGTCCAAGAGTGAGACGGTTTCCACCCTTTCCATGAGCTCCCTTGAGGTATGTGGCTGGGTGGTAGCTACGTGATATTGCACACATTTTGCACGGAGAACATTGCAGGTTCCTTTGCATCTCCGGTTGGAAAGGACCTCAGGTCCCTTGGCTGAAGAAGACCAAGCTGTCCCCAAGGCCTTGAAAAAGAACCAGTCGTATTGATACAATACGGGGATAAATTGACTGGCCGGAGTAAGGTTGGGGGGAGATAGCGGAGGCATATTGTCATTGAAAGTCTGCTCAATATTGATCCAGAGTAGATTCCAGTGTATAGTTAGCAGAGTAAAAACTTACACAGGTTGCAGGGGTTTCCAAAAATAGACCAGAGACATTTCATCCAGCAGAGCTTTACTGCATAATGGTCACAAATCCACTACATTCAGGTTTGGCACTGTCCATAAGAAATCCAGTTGCAGCAGACATAACTTAGCAATAACTTATAACTGGAGAGACCTGTCAGGAGTAAGCCTGGACCAATGGTACCAAATAGTATGGGAAACAGCCTTACTAGAAAAATTAACCAATAAACTGAAACTGATACGGGGACAAATAGAAGAAAACGCTTTCACCCCAGTATGGCTCCCCTTTATCACACACGCAGCCCAACAAGACAATGACAAAAACCCACCAACAGCATACAAATCAATATGGCTAACCTGATCCAAAACATCCACCCACCCCACTCACACATGAAAACAAAGACCACCACAGCCAACCACAAATGAACAACCACACCCATGGCCAACCTCAACCTCTCTCACCACCAAAGGAACACAAGTGAACAGCAAAGAACCTGCAGAAGCAATGCTGACACAAAACCCCACATATATTAAGTAAAATAGAAACATCACCACCCCACCCCACCCCACTCATCTTTCCTCCCCCCTCTACCTCTTTCCCCCTTTTCTTCCTAATGTCTCAACAAATGAAACTGATCTGTAAAAAATGTTACTTGGGGGGGGGGGAGAGAGAGAGAGAGAGAGAGAGAGAGAGAGAGAGAGAGAGACATTGCGCATACTTTTGTAAACCAAAAAAACACACAATAACTTATAATAAGTCTAAAACTAAATACTATATACAGAACACCACACCAGCTGGAAAAGAGATAGGAAGAGAAAGTGAATCCCAGGCTCCTTCTGGCCTCACTATTATAGTCAGCATGACCTTGACAGAAGAGATAACAGGACCAGTTTAAGCCAGCTGTACTCAGCTTCTCTGAAGGAATAACCCAAACATCGTGAAGTTTCTGCTTGTTCCTTTCACACAGAGACACTTCCAGAACTTGCTTGAACTAAGTAGAATAGGAAAGATCTCTACACATCAGATCAATATTTTCTGCACTAAGAAATGTAAACTGGCCTATATAAAACTAATCAGAGAGAGGGATGGTTTTCATAAAACGGGTTAAAACTTTCTAAACAACTGAGTAGGATTATCTATACTAAAATGTTTTTAAAAGCATACAGCCTGCCTGATATCAAAAGGCAGGGAGCTCCCAAGTGTAGTTCTGCCACACTAAATCACTGATTTCTTTAAAATGTGAAATTCACGTTCTGTAGCTCCTGTAACTGTGCCAGATCAAAGCGGTTGATATGGGGTCAGGTGATCTCATCGGTAAAGTGGTCCAGGTCCCAGATTGTTAACTGATCCCAAATGATTAGTGATGGGATCGTGTCCTCCACTGCTCCTCTGAGCAGCAGGCTAGTGTGGCAGAGCACACATACTGTTTTTTTCAGCAGAGGAGAATGGCTAGGGGCTTCATCCACCACCTGAGGCTGTTGCCTCACTTTGCCAAATGGTAGGACCACCCCTGGACCACCCCTGGACTGCCACGATTGTGGCCATGGCTGCAAATTGTGTACACCAAGTGCCTCTTTGCATGGTGCTTTCTCTAGGAGAAATATCGCCCCCCCCCCAAAAAAAAAGAAATCGGTGGCAAAAAAATGTTGTCAGTTTCATTGGGGTGGTATCACCCTACTGCTAATCTGTCTTTCTCTTTCAATCCCCAGAGACGGAAATCCCGGTATGCAGAGCTAGATTTCGAGGTGAGTACTTCCCCATTTACATAATGGACAGGTCAGGATGAGAGTGAATCTTATCATCCCCATTCCTCCATTGAATTTAGTTTCATATATAGTGAACTGACTGTCCTAACACCCAAAATGTCTGGAGTCATTGTCTGAGTCCCGAGAACCCATGAATCAGTTTGTGTCATATTCAGAGCTATTTTTTTTCAGCCAGAACTCCCTGGAACTCAGTTCCGGCACCTCTCAGGTGGGCGCCATTGCCATTATAAGATGAGGGAGGCATTCATAGTGGGTTCTGGCACCTCTTTTTTCTAGGAAAAAAAGCACTGCGTATTCCCCATAACAAGGGGTAATTTTCTCCACTGAAATGTAAAGGTAAAGGTAAAGGGACCCCTGACCATTAGGTCCAGTCATGGCCGACTCTGGGGTTGCGGCGCTCATCTCACTTTACTGGCCAAGGGAGCCGGCGTACAGCTTCCGGGTCATGTGGCCAGCATGACTAAGCCACTTCTGGTGAACCAGAGCAGCACACGGAAACGCCGTTTACCTTCCCGCCGTAGCGGTACCTATTTATCTACTTGCACTTTGATGTGCTTTCAAACGGCTAGGTTAGCAGGAGCAGGGACCAAGCAACGGGAGCTCACCCCATCACGGGGATTCGAACCGCCGACCTTCTGATCGGCAAGTCCTAGGCTCTGTGGTTTAACGCACAGCGCCACCCGCATCCCTCCCACTGGAATGTACATTGATGCAAATGTGTGCCTAATTTGACTCATGGGCAGTGTACACAGAATTTCTGGTAGCCAGGCATTGAAGAAAATGTCCAGCAACAGAGTGTTGCATACGGCACCTCTCTGAGTAGGCATAGCATAAACTGAAAGAATGAAGTGGTTCGTTTTGGATGAAAAATCCTATATACAAACAGCAACCTCGTTCTCCTTACGTAGCCCAAACTGGACCATCCGCTCTCATGAGGATGTTATTAAGAGGCTTGGGGGAACCCCAAGGTTTGCAAAAGTACAAAAAGGGGTGAACCCACCAAATGGAAACCCCCTGCAAACGGACATCCTGCGTTCTGAGAGCAATGATCATTCTCAGTACTCATTGGGCCATTTAGGGGGGTTTTCAGTCCTGCATTTTTACTTGGCTAGGACTAAAGATGGGGGAGAAATTCAATCCGGTTCACATTTAAAGGCAACCCTACCTAATTCGCAGTTTCCAAAACAATTCACACGCCTCTGAATTTTGCAGTGGAGTTCCAGTGTGTTCAGAAATGCACACACTAGGATTTAGTATGCATCAAAGTCTATGCATTAGAGAAAATAGCATACAGTAATGCATTGCACTACTACAGGTGCCATATAATAATACTCATTCCACACTTGTAAGAAATCAATCTTTTACTATGGTAGAACACACACTTTGGAACTCCCTGCCTATTGAAACCAGGCAAACGCTCTTTGTGGTGCTTGCTTAAAATGTTTTTGTTTGGCGACCCTATCCACAAATGTAGCAGGCTGGCATGTGTATTAATCCTTTTGCTTTCTGTTGAGTTTAGTTATCTTTTTTGATTTCTTTAAAAGCTCATTTAATTATGTTACAAATGTTTTAGATACCTCTTTTTAACCTTTTTATTGATCATCTTAACATGTTTTTAAAAACTGTAAACGGCTTAGAAGTTTTATTATAACCAAGCAGTTTATAAGTGTAAATCAGTAAATTTATATTAGAGGAAACTGCACCCAAAAATAACTATATTAAGAGAGACCTGCACTAAAACACTGAAGAATTTTCATCAGATTCTCTCTCTCTCTCTCTCTCTCTCTCTCTCTATATATATATATATATATATTATGAAGTGATATGGAAATGTGGAGAAATGAGGACTAGAACAATGAGAAACTGGGACAGATCCACCCATTCCTAATTAGGTTTAATTGATCTCACAATTCCTGCCTGAGGCTTTGATGGACCTGGGATATCCTGACCTGTTTCTCTCTCACCCGTTGCAGAAAATCATGCACACGAGAAAACGTCACCAAGACATGTTCCAGGACTTGAACCGAAAGCTGCAGCATGCAGAGAAAGAGAAGGAGTCCCCAACAACAGACAGCAAGGTGAGTTCTGGCCCAGTTTCCTGAAAACTCCATCCTTGGGGACCTAATTTATTTGGGGGCCTGCAAACAAAGGATCTGGGAAATTCCAAAAACCATAATTTTGCACCTGTGGGCAAAACTCCTCTGCCTTTTATTCTCCCCCACCCCTGTGAGGATATTTGCAGTTTGAAAATCTGTTTTCGATAAGTCTTCTTCTTCGTTTGACTGGAGAAAAGCTCAAATGACTTCAATTTTTCTCTGACTCCCTGCTCCCGTGTCTTCTAGATATAGGGCTGCCATACGTCCTGGTTTTCCTGGACATGTCCAGGAATCGCTGGCCAAAATGATATCCAGGCAAATTTTTGTCAAA